GATCTGTTATCTATTAATATAATCCATCCTTGCCCAGTAACTGCTCATGTTGGATCCAGTTGCATATTGGGTAAATGTAACAGGAGTTAGACTTGATAGCCCACCTCCACCCCTTGTTTATTACAAAGGAATAGTATACTCCCGAGAGACCCACTAAGATAAGGAGTTTCAATTACATGGGAGGGGACTGTAAGAGACAGATGTCAATAAGGGTGTTGAAGTGGTAGGGGCCTCATAACTTAAATATCCTCACATGTGGGCACTCTCATGGCCCTGTGTGAACTTTATTTCTGGTCAGGACATTCTCACGGACTGGAGCTGGTATTCATTTCATTCTGTATCCTGTAAGTTCCCTTCCACTGCAGTGGTTTCTTTTCCTTATGTCCTGTCTGCTTGACATCTATGGATCTTTGCTTTGGACAACTAGTGCCACTGTTTTGTTGATGTCCTAAGCACGTACTTACCTTGCTTATTGGGTAAACGTCCTGGATCATGAGTAAAACAAAAATATATGAGTTATGGGTTATGCTTCCAAGGAGGTTTGAATGAAGTTTAAGGAAATATAGAAAGATGAGTAACAATTTGAGACTCTATGTGATAAGGGGATCATATCTCTTAAGAGGTTTCATTAACCTAAATTTGAAATACTTTAGGACTTTAACAAATATATATAGGTTCCATCAGGAAACTTGGGCTTATGTTTCATATCATTCTATTAACAACTAACTTATGACACGTCAGTCTGAGACTAGGTTTCCTCATCTGCAAAATGAAAGGATTGAACTAGATGACTCAAAAAATGCTCGTAGTGGTAGTAAGCTATAATTCTTTACTACCTTAATATTATTTTCTGAATTTTCTCATTGACTTTTTCTTCAGTGATGTCATACAATAGCATTTGCTTGGAAAAATACATAGATATTTGGAATTTACTATCTTTTCTAAAAATTCAAAATATGTGGAAACTCTTGCTCATTAATTCTCTTAGTGTTACTGCATGAGAAATATATTTTACTGTCTGTATTTTTGCTTTGATCTTTTTTTTTTATTGTACTTCAGATGAAGGTTTACAGAACAAATAGTTTCTCATTAAAAAGTTAATACACATATTATTTTATGACAATGGTTAACAACCCCACGACGTGTCAACACTGACCCTTCTCAACATTGGGTTCCCTATTACCAGCTTTCCTGTCCCCTCCTGCCTTCTAGTCCTTGTCCCTGGACTGTTGTGCCCCATTAGTCTCATTTTGTTTTATGGGGCTGTCTAATCTTTGGCTAAGGGTGAACCTCGGGAGTGACTTCATTACTGAGCTAAAAGGGTATCTGGAGACCATACTCTTGGGGTTTCTCCAGTCTCTGTCAGGCCAGTAAGTCTGTTCTTTTTTTGTGAGTTAGAATTTTGTTCTACATTTTTCTTCAGCTCTGTCCAGGACCCTCTGTTGTGATCCCGGTCAGAGCAGTCAGTGGTGGTAGCCGGGCACCATCTAGTTGTACTGGACTCAGTCTGGTGGAAGCCATGGTAGTTGTGGTCCATTATTTTACTGTCTGGTTTCCTATCTATCAGATGGTTTAAATATTTTGTCAACTTTTGTTTTTCTTAGAATAAGAAGCCACATATTTTAAAATTTTCAACATTTACACCACAAAAAATGAAACTACTAGTAATTCAATAACTTTCATAATCAGGTCCCAGTTAGGAATTGCTAGTCATAGGATCCTATGTAAATTCTATGTAGAATTTTCCTGATACAATTTTGATTATGAGGCAGTCAGCTCCAGCTGTCCTAAGAAAGGTCCCTGTGTTTAAATCATTGCCATCAAATTTGTTGTCCAGAGTTATCTTTGGATGATGGACAGGTCATTTGGAGGATTGGAATTCAGTGAAACTAAATGTCAAGAAAATCTCTGGGACCATATAGAAAATGTGCAAAAGTACATCATTAACTTAAAGACTAAAGCAGTTTTCTTTCAGATTCTCTCTTTGCCATGATTCATAGACAAGCTGTGGTGAAAAGTCTGCTTCATCATGAGAATACAGAGTTGCAAAACAGAAGCTTACTGATTCTCACAAACACGAACGGTTAGATGTTCTAGGCTGGACTTACTTCTTCTTAGACGTTTGATAAGGATTGATCCTACCCCTTAGGATCAGGATCTTCTGATAATGGCCATTATGTTTTCCTTTTGGAAACAACCGATATCTGTCTTATTTTCCTTGAATCACATTTGCATGGTAGAGTGGTTTCACTGAATTCTGAAATACTCCAATGAAAAAGTTTTGAAACTAGAGAGAAGTGGTGGCTGCACAACATTGTGAATGCACTAAATGCCACTGAATGGTACACTTTAAAACGGTTAATTGTATGTTATGTAAATCTCACCTCAATTACAAATATATATTTTTTGAGTATTTACCTTGGGCTAGACAGGGCTCTGGGCTTTGGGCTCTGGTGATACAATAGTGAAAAATCCAGAAAAGATCCCTGTCCTCACAGAGAAGCATTCTAGTGGTGGAGGAGGCAATGGTCCAGGAAGGTATTACTGAGGAGGTAGGTGACCTTTGAGGTGTGAGACCATTCAATAATGAGAATGAACCAGCCCTGGGAAAAGGATGAGGGAGAAAGCAAATCTTCCGGATTTTTTTTTTTTTTTTTGGTCCCATGGTACCAACAGATGGTTAGGGATTTTTGGACACTATCTAAAAATAATTAAGTTGGAATCCACTAGACTTTTGAGTGCATTGTTGGAGTATGGATTGTTCTGCTATTTTTAGTACTTGTTCTCATGTATTTTCATAGTGCTGCCTGATACAGCTTCCTCAGGAGAAAGAATTTCAGGATAAGGTTGCTTATTTAATACTATTTAAAGCTTCTATTCATTCTATCAATTGATGCAATAACTTAAGCATTCACTTTTTCTCTATAGCCTTTTTGTCCCCTATCTCTTTATACAATTATGTGGAGAGGTTTTTTTTTTTTTTTTTTTTTAAATAATTGCCTTATATTGATACAAAAGAAAGTAATTATACTACAGTGCTTTGAAAACTTTCAGAGGTTTCATGACAACTTTTTATTTATTCGGTCCCTTGGTGTATATGTATGAGGAGAGAAGGAAAAGGGTAAAAAGGTAGAATGACTGCCTACAGTTCTTTTCCACCTGCTTCCATTTCCCTCAAACCTGACACATGCAGGAAAGCCCATCCGTTGGCAGAAGTGCTGACAAAGATATCCTGGATAAAATTCTTCCAGCCTAAGATCACTAACATGGATTAACAGCAGCAAGGCATTACCTGCTCACACCTTGATTATCAGTTTTCAGTTTAACAGATAATACTTGGAACCCAGCTGATATCAAGGACAGAGAAAGAATGTCATCAGGAGTTATTGATAGGGGAGGCATAAGGGCATCACGGAAATTTTAGCTACTACATAATTTTTCCAAGGAAGAACACTGGCTGTCTCTTTCACAGTCTTCTCACAAGTTGCTTCCAGGGTGTATAGCCTCTGTCTAGGCTGCCTTATTCTCCACATCTGGAAAAAATCTAGCACTGTTACATTTTGGGGCTTCTTTCTAATTCCACCCCCCCCCAAAAAAAAAGAAGAGGAAAGAAACAGATCTTGAGCAGATTATCAGCAGAATGAATTCAAAGTATTTTAATTAATGTTTTAATACAATATACATTTGGATGTGTAAATACCAATCCAGAAAAGAACTAGTCCTTGGCATTTGTCATTCCTTCAGAGAGTATATAATATATGGAAAATGGTATTTCATCAATAGCTCAAAATCTCTGTTTGAGACAGGTGGTATTTCTGAGCTTTTCACAAAAAAACCCCACATTTTTTATATCTTTAAGGAATTAATTATCCAATAGGAGAAATAATGTATGTACCTAAATAAATATATTGAGGCTAGAACATGGTATGTGTCTTAAGAGGAGATGAAATAAGTGATCTGAGAGAGCACATCTCCTTTGGTTTACAAGGAAGATTTCACAGAGTGTGACATTTGGTCTGGGTCTTGAGGATAGATAAGAATTCTACACTTGAATATTGATAGAAGAGAAGTAATTTTAAGATAGAAGGAACTAAAAGAACAAGGATATGGTGGCAGAAAGACTCAGGACATGCTAATGACATGAGCTAGTATTTCAAACAGGGAAGAATGTAGAGAATACATAAGAGTAGAATGAGATAAGGCTAAAAATGTAGGTTGATGAGGCCTTGGCATCTAGGCTTAGGGAGTTTGACTTGTATTCCACAGAAAGCATACAGCTAAAGGCTAAAAATGTAGGTTGATGAGGCCTTGGCTTTTAGGCTTAAGGAGTTTGAATTTTATTCAACAGAAAGCATACAGCTAATGATAGTTTATGAACAGAAAGCCTCTTCTTGAGTTACCTAAAGTTCCCCAAGATGATTAGTCATGGAGGGGCTTACTAGGTGAGGAGAAAAATTGTAGGGGATGAATAAATATTTGGTTGATTGACTCATTTTTTCCACTTTCTCGCCTTTGCTTTAACTAAACCCATTTTTAAGTATCAAAACCTGAAATCTGAACCTTGAATGTGATAAGGACCGTGGTACAAATTGTTGCCTTATAGTATTTCAGAGTGCTTCCTCTGACAGTGTTGTTTTAGACGGAATTTAGTACATGGTGATTTCTGTGTAAAACAATGGTCTAGAGCTCTTAGAGGACATCAGTACATTAGTGAGATCTTTGAATTTTTCAAACAATTTGCATTTTACTATTTTGTTTCCTCTGTGTTTTATATTGGGGATCAGACCCTTATTTGGTCCTTTTTTAGCTTTTTAAATTGCCAATTGTAAGATAAAGGGATTACCAGAGTTGAAAATTACTTTGTTAAAATTATTCATAAATTCAACTGCGGTTCACTTTTGGCTTGTGCTATGCAGTATAGGTCTGTTAAGTAAATGTATCCAGCTTTTAATTACATTCAGAAATAGTCCCTATTTTAAAAAGGATGGTTCTGGTTTTAGGCATAACAGCTGCAGCAATGGCTGAGGCGATGAAGTTGCAGAAGATGAAACTCATGGCTATGAACACTCTTCAGGGAAATGGAAGCCAAAATGGGACAGAATCAGAACCTGATGATCTTAATTCTAACACAGGTGAGTGTCTTCAGAAATCCCAGGCAGGTGATTCTTACTGTTTTATTCTGGGGTGGAAGAGAGGACAGATTAGGGAAGAGGACAGAATAATATACATACTTTCGTTATAAGAAGTTATAAGGAAGTGTGCTAAACTCTACTACTAACTTGCCCACTAAAATTAGAAACCATTACAGGTCAGAATCCCATTTCAGGAAACAATAAGTTACCTCCATTATTTTGTTGCAGTGAAATTAAATTTGAATTCCTATATGATTCAGAATCTACTCAATGACAACACATTTGGGTTTTTTTCTTTTTTTGTTAGTTTTAGCCATTGTGCTCTCCACCTGCTGAAGGCTGTCCCAATCCCAGCTTCACCCTAGGCTTCTCGTGCCCTTCTTTTCTCAAGAATTTACCTCTGAAAGACAGTGCTGAGAATCCAGGTTGATTGGGCTTCAGCCTCTGAAGCTGCTTAGTTAACTGAAGGTGCTGGCCGACTCCAGGCATTATTAGCAATAGCTTAAAAAAGAGGGGCAGAATGGGGAGCAAGCAAAGAAAGAAAGATGGAAGAAATGGAGGGAAGAGAAAGAGCCTGTGGAGTATAATGTCCCCTTCCCTGTTACTATTTGTTTTTTCTCTTTTACCCTGTGATAATTGTACCTTAGCCTTGATTATAAAGCCCCTCAGATCTGTTTTGGAAGTATGTGGGACTACTGTATCTATCAACATACACGAATGGACAAATACGTATATACACGCATGCATGCGTAAGTAAATACATATATAAATAAATAAATAGGGTTTAATTTAAGTGGGGAATGAGTAAGACTCAACCAAAGATGGTCTTCGGAGCCACAGGTTTTCAATATAACTCTGCAGTTAAATTCAACATAATGTGATAGGCAGATTTTAGCCTCCTAGAAGTTCAAGCATGGCAGGGCCTTGTTTTGGAGGGGTAGGGGAAGGGGAATTGAAGTGGAAAGTTATTGAATCAAATAGGTAGGGAAAGTTACTCTGACTTTAATATAGTGTAGATCTGGTCATCTAAAATTATAATGTTCACGGTGAATTATAGAATGAGAATTACTCTTCAACCAGTGCTCACAGTAGTATTCTGTCTTATCAGGTGCAATTTACTGGAGAATCAATGCAAAATGCATACTTTTACACGATTCACAGTAACTGGAAACAGCCCATAGATTAAACTAAAATGAACACTAAAAATAAGCATAATAACAATAGTAAGACTAGTTACCAGTTACCATGTATCAAGTATTTCTCATGTTATTTCATTTAATTCTTACCAAAAGTGTGAGAAAATGACTTTTCTCAAACTCCTGTTTTATAGATAAGGAAATACAGGCACAAAGCTGTCCACCTTTGTCCATAGTCACAAAGCTAGTAAATGGCAGAGTTAAGTTTCAATCTCACATCTAGTTAAGTCCAAAGTGCTTGCTCATTCAACATTTTGCCCTCTCTTCAATGCTGTTTTGTAAAGCAAATTTGACTTTATCAAACCCCCAGAATAAAATTTGTTTTTAAATGAGGCTACAGAGAGAAAACTGATGGTCAGTTTCATAGTCCTAATGTCTTTTAACTCATTACTTACTTGCAAATCTTAAAGTATCTTAATAGTGATGAGGGTGAGAATGGTTACACAACTTGAATAATTAATTTCACTGAATTGTACATGTAGAAACTGTTGAATTGGTGTATGTTTTGCTGTGTATATTCTCAATGACAACAAAATAAATAAAATTTCAAAAACATGACCAACATACCATATGATCCAGCTATCCCACTCCTTGGAATATATCCTAGAGAAATAAGAGCCATCCCACGAATAGATATATGCACACCCATGTTCATTGCAGCATTGTTCACAATAGCAAAAAGATGGAAACAACCTAGGTGCCCATCAAAAGACAAATGGATAAACAAATTATGGTATATCCACACAATGGAATACTACGCAATGATAAAGAACAACGATCAAGCCGTGAAACATAACATGGAGGAAGCTGGAACTCATCATGCTGAGTGAATTTAGTCAGTCACAGAAGGACAAATATTGTATAAGACCACTATTATAAGAACTCAAGAAAAGGTTTAAACACAGAAGAACACATTCTTTGATGGTTATGAGGGTGGGGAGGGAGGGTGAGGGTTATTTACTAACTAGATAGTAGATAAGAATTATCTTAGGTGAAGGGAAGGATAGCATACACTACAGGGGAAGTCAGCACAACTGGACTAAACCAAAGCTAAGAAGTTTCCTGAATACAATCAAACACTTTGAGAGACAGAGTGGCAGGGGTAGGGATCTGGGGACCATGCTTTCAGGGTACATCTAGGTCAATTGGCATAACAAAGCTTATTAAGAAAATGTTCTGCATCCTATTTTGGTGAGTGGCTTCTGGGGTCTTAAAAGTTTGCAAGCGGCCATCTAAGATGCATCAATTGGTCCCAACCACCTGGAGTAAAGGAGAATGAAGAACACCAAAGACACAAGGAAAGTATTAGCCCAAGACACAGAAAGGGCCACATAAACCAGAGACTTCATCAGCCTGAGACCAGAAGAACTAGATGGTGCCCAGCTACCACCAATGACCGCTCTGACAGGGAACACAACAGAGAGTCCCTGATGGAACGGGAGAAAGGTGTGGTGCGGAACTCAAATTCTAGTAAGAAGACCAGACTTAATGGTCTGACTGAAACTGGAGGAACCCCAGAAAGCATGGCCCCTGGATTCTCTATCAGCCCAGAACTAAAACAATTTCTAAGGCCAACTCTTCAGACACGGATGGACTGGACTGTGAGACATAAAGTGATACCCTTGAGGAGTGTGCCTCTTAGCTCAAGTAGATACAAGAGACTAAACGGGAAGCTTCTGTCCAGAGGTGAGATGGGAAGGCAGAGAGGGTTGGGAGCTGGTTGAATGGACATGGGGAATCAGGGTTGAAAGGAGGAGTGTGCTGTCGCAGTAGGGGGAGAGCAATTAGGGTCACATAACAATGTATGTATACATTTTTGTTTGGGAGACTAACTTGAAATGTAAACTTCATTTAAACTACAAGAATAAAAAAAAATTAAAAAGAGTATTGCACAAATTGGAAAAAAAAAAGAAAGAATAAGATTCACCATGAAAAAAAGGCCTGTCACATAATAAGTCAGAATTGTGCCTTTTTATGATTAATGTGGGAAAAGTAATTCTTGGAAACTAAAGGAAATAGTGGTAAAAAAAAAAATTGACCAACATTTGACAGGAAACCTCTTGTAATGCAGTATTATTATAGAGGAATGTTTAGTAACAGTAAAAAATTAGTGAGATCTCCTCCAGTAATTTCTGTCATGTTTATCTCAGATAAGCCAGTTTCTGAAAAAGACTTTCTACAATATTCCTATGCTGTTCCTTTATAACAAGACAACATAAACACTTCGAAAGATACACTGGTGGCATAATTTCTAACTTACTAAATGGCTAGTAATTTTCCTGGCTCGATATAACCTGGCTTAACACCATATATTCATCATTATGATTTAAAAAAAAAAAAAAAGTATTAGGTTTCTATCTGTGTATGATGTTATTCTTGGTGCTATTTATAGTCACTATCCTTGACCATGCGGAGGTAGCTGTCTAATTATCCTAATCTTGATGTAATGAAGGGAGGCCAACTTGAAATACTACTACTACTACTACTATAGGTTTAAATGAAGAATTCGCTGAGATTTTTCCAAAGTCTGCCAAATCTTTGCTCTACTGGAAAACAATATACTACAGTTTCCCAAGTGATCATTTGTAAATGGAAATTTATCTCAAGAATATTAGGTGTGAAAATTTTTGGTGATCTGGGGGCTAGTACCTCTTTGATGCCTTTTTGGGTCTCCTATCTTAGGATTTACACTGGTTGAGGTATGCTATTTGACTTCGTTAAGATCAAAGACTGGGCCTGATTTTTTTTTTCTAACTTCCATGGCTGTCACCTTTGATCTACTTTAGTGCCTTCCGAGAGGGGAAAGAAGCAGATCGATATTGACAAGGGAGACTACAGTTAACAACATTTAGGGTCTGATTACTGGTTAAGGGCATGATCTTCTTGAGTATTTGCAGTTCAAATAGAACTGGGAAATCAGACATTAAACCCAAAGGAAAACTAGGTTTTTGTGAATTACTAAGGCTCTATTTACAAAGTAGATACCAGATCCAATCAGTCAAAAGAAAATTAGTCAATTCAGTAATAATGCTCAGTCAAGTGAGTTGTGAGGTATATTGAAGAAAACACATTGAATGTTTTCCATCATTTGTCTGTGTCCTAGAGGCTGAGCATTAGATTATGATCTAATGCAGTTATTTTCAGCTTTGGTTGCACAGAATTCCAGTGGTGTATTTGAAGAGGTTAGCAAATAATAGATATTTCTTCAAGGTCCATTGTGTGAATTAAATGATCGGTGTAGCTAGTGACCATTTCTAAGCCTCTCCAAGGGGGACTAGAATGATTCTTGAATAGGATTCTTAACAAAATTCAATTTTCATATTTATTTAGCATCCACAATGTGCAAAATTCTAAAAGTGAAAAAGTCAACATGTTGGCAGTCTGTTTCCATAAAGATTACAGTCTTGGAAACCCAATGGGGCAGTTCTACTCTTATCCTAAAGGGTCGCTATGAATTGGAATCAACTTGATGGCAATGGGTTTTGTTTATGGCGAGAAAAGACAAAAATCTGGCTTTCAAATGCTTATTTTATACTAAAACCCCATTGCCATCGAGTTGATTCTGACTCATAGTGACCCTATAGGACAGAGTAGAACTGCCCCATAGAGTTTCCAAGGAGTGCCTGGTGGATTCGAACTGACGACCTTTTGGTTAGCAGCCAAAGCAGTTAATCACTATGCCACCAGGTTTTCCATTTTATACTAGGTGAGATGAAAAAACTATGAATCAATATATAAATGGCTATCCTCTAAGATGCAATGTGATAAATGCAACAAGATGAACAAAGTACTGTAAGAATATGG